TTTTTGGGCGACGTTTATAATCTGCAAGCTTAATGATTATGAAGAGTATTTTTAGAGTATATTTAACTACTGAATTTTTGGGAAAGTTACCACTCAGCTTTCTTTTCATTTTTTAATCTACACTGTCTTGAGAAATAGTGCTTTTATATTTTCTTAGATTTGTTACAGAAGTTAAAAAGTGTTAGAAGTGGCTTTCCTAAATCTATCTATCTATCTATCTATAAATGTGTTACCTCTATGGGAATAGATTTTTGGAGAGGAATTACCTTAAGGATATGCGTATGTATCATACTTGCTTGCATTTTTCTTGTAGAGCAGCTCTAGATTGCAACATTTTGAGTGCTTTTGTTTTTAAGCATTGTATGTGACTCACTTTTCTCTTTGTATCATGTATATTCTACTCCTAAGTTTTGGTCCCTCAACAAACCTTTCCATGCTGGTCTCTTCTGACTTGTACTAAGAGTTGCGTCTGTTTCCACTTGTGGTCCTCAAGGTCTTGACTGGTTCTTTCTGAATCTTATTATAAAAAGCTTTCTTTTACAGTATGTATAGACAGACTTAAATGATCACAAATGATGCAAAAGTAGTCAAATAAGTCAAATGTCACAGGTTGTGTCTAGCAATGTGTGCGTGAGCTGGAGCCTCACAGCGGTGGGAAATTCACACCTGGGGGACGTGCTTTCCCATGTACTTCTGTAAGAAATGTCTGTCCTGGATTCAGTAGGTATAGGAAGAAGTGATGCTTGTACGTGCATATATCTATTTACACATGCAAGATGCAAACTATTTTATGTGTGCACTTAACAATTTCCTCTTACTATTATGTTTACTTAGAATTGGCACAAAGCTTTTGTCCCAAAAAGTCTGTTAGAAAAAGAAAACGAGGGGATGCTCAGTGGTTCCTCAGCCAGCTATAGCAACAGCTATTTCTCAGTGATTCTCATCCTCTCATCCATAAAATCAGCATAAAATTGACCTAACATTGCCAGATCAGATGGGGTATCTGGAAAGTAATCCTCAGGGAAAAGAAAATTCAGTCTTTGTAAATGTGAAGATAAAGTGCATAAAGTTGCAGAATCGGATTATACTTTCTCTTTTTATTTCGAAATCAGTACCCTTTTGTTTCTTCCTTTGCAGCACTTGTGAGAAGTTGCCACAAAGATGTGTCAGATGCTGCCTGAGCCTAGCTCCAAAAGCAGAAACAAACATAAGCTTTTGAAAAAAGCCCAGTCCCTGACTTGGATAATTATCATAAAATCCCAAGGCTTTTTATAGGTGTTAGGGTTTGGTTTCAGAGAGTGAAGGCGTAGAAGGAGTATAGTAACCTTTCTTTTTGAAGCACAAGTCACATCAGATTTTCTTACTTAATAAATGTATGGCAAGTACCTACTAAAATAACCAGTTAAAAGCCAGTAATAACAACTGCAAAACCCAGCTCAAAGCAGTTGGACAAGTCTTGGAGGCGTGTAATTTTTGCTGAATGTAGTGCTGAATGTTTTTCTTGAATCGAGTTAGGAATATTTTTTTAAATGTTGGCTCTTTTTTGTTTTCATGAAGGAGTATTAAGAGCATTATTCTGCCTGTTTAGATCACATGAATTTAATTATTCTCTCATGATATAAGCATCCTTTCATGCTATGAAAATAAATGCTGTTAGACCTGTAGTTCAGTGAACTGGAGTTTACTTTAGAGTTGTTTTTATTATTTCAAATGAGACCAAAGTACTATGAGAAGATACCAAACTAAGCAGGACACTAAATTCTAGTTGCAGGTTTTACATCTGTCAGCATATCAGGGCGCCAAAAGAAGTTATTGGAGTTGCTGACCTTGTTGCCAGTAGGTAAAGGGTGCTGCTGTGAAGTGTTCAGCTCCATTGGCACGTCACTGCGATGTGAAGATATTACCTGTTTTGTGACCCCAAACCCCAAGTTACCTGGAGCCAGGTTTTGCTTGATTTGCAGATTATACTTTGCCTCTGATTGTGACCTTTTAAAATTACGCTTGGAGATTTTGCTATCGTGATCTGCTTCCTTTTTTGAAGCCTGATGGTTACACTGCCACTGAGAAAAGGGAAAGAAAGAAAGAAATTACATTGCCTTCCCAATTAGAAGTTTGCTTATTAAACATTTTACAAAGTATCAAAAAACTCCTGTGATTTTTGTTACTGGGTTGCTAAAGCATTCAATATACTAAGTGTTTCTCGCGTAACTGCATTTCACATCTGCCAAAATAATCTTCCTGATTTCATTGCTAGAAGAGGTGAGCTTGCCAAGTCCGCTACTCCCTGGCGATGCTCCGTCATCCTGCCTTACTGCAGGACGGTCCGTGCAACCCTTTGCAGACAGTAACTCTTGGATTTTGCAACAGAAACAACTATAAATGGTACAACAAGACTTGGAAAGTTCTGAGCAAGAAAGAGGTCATAAGAAATGGAACGAGACGCAGCTAGTAACCAGCTTGTATTTCATGAGGTGTAGCAAATGCTTAAGGCCAGATTGCCGCCGGGTGAAGCAGTCCCACTTTCTTCTCACCACAACTCCCCATTCCCCGGTTTTTCTTCCTTTTTTTCTGGTGTAAACCCAAGGGTTTTGGGGAACTGATCTAGTTGATGCTGACCTGAAAAATTCCAGACTGTCGGTTTGATCTTGGTCAGTTCCCTCGTGTGGGTCAGTGTGTAGCCATGGAAGAGTCTGCACCAGCAGGAGAGAGATGATGGTTCAGGATCACCAAGTAGCTGGTAGTGGGAGTGCAGTGGGATTGCTCGTTTGCAGAGAAATTTATACTTGAAATGTTTGTGGATGTATGGCCTTAGACTTGCAAGCTCTTTTAAGGTATTTTTTGGATTCTGCACAATTTCCAGTCATTTTTAGCAAGTAATTTATGAATTACTTAACATTGAGTATTTGGTACCTGTTACCATGTTTGCTGCTCCTGGAATTTATCAGAGATCACTGTTGATATATAATTACTTTTTTTTTCATGGTACTAAATTGGAATAAAAATAAGAGATTTCTTACAGTATAGGCACTGAGATATTCAAGCTCCTCTTCTATCTGGTCATTACACAGATGTGTGTGTGATTTAAATACACACAAAACAGATGACAAGAAAGGTCTCTGTTTTAAGTTATTGTATTGGCTCTCATGTTTTTATAAACATAGCATCTTACCTCTTGTTTCATGTCTGCCTCCAAAAGTTCTTGCTCCCCATAGAAGATGGAGGAAGATTCCTTGTGCAAAATACATAGATTTTCATAAATAATAGCTGCAGAATCCTCCCCAGATGTTCTTAGGAGCAAAGAAGTGCTTGTCCAATGAGAAGAGTCAAATGGCCACATTTTTGTCTAAAATCTCAATTGGATTTGAATTAGATGAAAATTAGGTCTAGATTAGGTTGAGTTGATTGACAAGTCAAATTTTGCAACACGTTCAAAATGTATGTTCCATTGTTGGTTTAACGGCTGGCCCAGGCTGAAGGAGGAGTGCTGGCTTCAGCCTCCAGCTCCTTCTGAGTGTGCCAGTGGCAAAAGCGGGCGCAGCAGCTGCGTGCTGAATAGTAGGACTTGCAATCAGCAACTGGGAATGAAAATATCAACAAAGGTGTTTCCCTTCCATTAAAGCTTCAGTTTGCAGCAGCAAACATACGTGGAGGATGAAGAAGAGTGGAAACCTCCATACTTTGCCAAAAGTGAAGAACCCTCCAGTTCTGATGTAAAACATAGCAGTAAGAAGGAAATTTCTGATTTATGAGACAGTGCAGCGTTAGAGACTGCAGTGGAAATCCGAGTACGTTTCCCAGATCCTGGCTCCTGAGAAGACAGGAATCCCAGCAGCTCCCACAGTAGCCAAGAGGTTGCAATTCTCGCCCGGCAGTGTCCCTGGCGCTTACCGGCGGGCGTCTCCGTTGGCTTTGCTGCCCTCTGGCACCCTGAGCTGTCGTTGGCCGCGTGGCCAGTGGCGGGAGGATCTGCCTGACGATGGCTAGGACACGAGCTCTCCCTCTAGCCCGGGCTTGGGCACCGACCTGGGTCTCCCTTGCAGGAAGATGGGTAATTTCACTTTTAGCACATGGACAAATGCTGCTGCTAATCTGTTGTATAGAAGTCCTGTGAAGCTTCGTGGGTGTTTGCGATAGTTTAACAGTAGCACCTCGGGAAGGTTTTGTATTGCAGGAGATTAAAAGCTTCGGGGGGATGAAGAGCATAATTCGGTTTTTGTTGAAAGGTTATGGTTCAGGTCGTTGTGTTAGATGTCTTCAAAATAATGTTAACTGTAGGCTTGTATATAGCCTAAGTAACACTGATTATTTTGGTAATTAACGGTTTATAACAGCTTAGTGAAAGCTTTAAGATATTATTGAAATGCTGATTTTCGAGTGGCTCTGAATATTCAAATGTGCTAGTTCTTCTAAACTCTTTCTTGAGAGTACTGGTAATATTGGTCCTATCTTTAAAATTGCAAAAATTGCACTTTCCTACCTCATAGCGGGCTTTGTTTTCTCCTTCTTACCATTTTACATATTTTTTTTTTAACTTCCCTTGGACGGAAAGAGGTTTTATATCACTTTATTTCTTCATTAAATTAAAATGTGAAAATTGATCATGTGCTTAGAAACATGAAGAACTCAGGTTAAAAAGAACGAGTTGAATATGATAATAGTTTGGTACTGTGTGTAAAACAATAAACATATAGTTTCATAAATATGAATGTCTTTTTAATAATCCAGTATCTTCCTTAGTTTTTAGATACATTTTTGCACTTGCCTCAAAGCTTGACGCTAAGCTGACCCTCTCTTTAATATTAATGTACTCTGACTGTAATACTCTGTTCCTTTGCCTCTGATTAATGCTGTCTGTCAATTATTTACAGATCCGGTGGTACTGTGGAAGTTCCCGGAGGACTTTGGAGACCAGGTTGGGAACATGAGATTGAACTTTTTTTTATGTTAGAATAATAATAAAAAAGCTCTCCTATTCAGCTGTAGAGAGGCAGATGCTAATGATGGCGGTGAGGAAGTCTTCACCCAACTGGTGGCTTGGTGATTAGAATGCGTTTGTGACAGGAATATGCAATAGTAGTTGTAGAGCGCTGTGTTTCATACTAATTCTCTGTATCACCTTATTTTTAATACAGAGTATTTTATGAGCTATTTCTATTGGAACTGTTGGGGTTTTATCTGTTATAGGATTGAAAATGTGGAAAAATTATCAACAAAACTTTGCCAAACATTGATGCTATAAATTGTGTTAACAAAAACCACCAGAATGAAAAAGTTGAAGTATGTTGTTTTAATGGCAGAACCTGTGCGTATCCCGTTCCTTTAATCCTTTGCAATGCAAAATTTTATATATTTATTTAATAATATTTTAGACATACTCTAGTTAGTTGCTTGCAGGAAAAAAAAAAAAAGTCCTCAGACCCTTACAAGAGACAATGATCTAAACTTACTGATTTTGAAAGCGTGAAAATCCTAGTTTCTGTCTCTAATTAATCCTCAAAGGAAAGTTTGTACATACAGGACGCATGGATTATTTCACTGTTTGTAGTGATAGCAAAGTTATTAATTAGTGTGCTGTGTCTTTTCCCCCCTCCCCGGACTGTTTTATTAAAGTTATTAATATTAAAATTTAATGAAACTACTAAATTTTATTATTTCAGCAACTTTCAGATGAGTTTCTTCTGTGGAAATATTTTTATTTTCATGAGGAAAAATACATAAAAAGCCCAGTAAATAGAATAAATATCTCTGACTCAATGTCTCTCTTTGCTCCTCTTTTTAGACTGATACTGAGTCAAAGATATTCTTCATTGGTAATATCACCACAATGGATGATCTGGAAATATTTTTGTACGGTATATCTTGATAAATTGTTGATTTTTTTTTTTTTAAATCAATAATACAAGATTCTATAAAGACAGCTATAAGATGATTCATGATGAAAGGAATAAATATACAAACATAGAAGGTAGGATGTCTGGTTAGGGAATAGCATCAGTCTGAAACACGTGCAGCTTATAAGATGGTGATAAATGGTACATGAGCAAAGTGTGCTGTTATAAGTTCTTAGCTAGACATCCAGATAATTTTCCTGGCTGCAGAATGATCATCTTCATTGTCATTTAAATTCTTTTTTTCTAGTTTGTTTTGTTCTTGTTCTTTTTCTTTTCCCTAAGAAAGACTTGATCTTAAAAAAAGAAAAGAAAAAAAGAGAAATTATGTATGAAGAAAAATGGGAGCTTTTTCAGTAAGTCGAAGGTTATTCAAAGAACAGCTGGTGTAGAAAATGATTAGAAGATGAAGCCCACTAAAGACTGGAGGGGAATCATACAAAGATGCAATAGTCATCCATAAAACCCAGAGTCCTCAGGCAGCTCTCTGCCTTTGGGCTCTGAAAACCCCACGCCTGCACGTTGTTTCTCAGCAGTGTAGGGA